AAGAAGAAGAAGAAGAAGAAGAAGAAGAAGAAGAAGAAGAAGAAGAAGAAGAAGAAGAAGAAGAAGAAGAAGAAGAAGATTGGGGAACTAACTGGCTTAATAACTTCTAGAATGTCATGATTATCATGCATATACAGATGTAAAGCATATATTTTGAAATCAACCCACACACACTCACACACTAACACTTATGCACCATATATCTGCAAAATTATGCATTTATGCTGAAACAATGCATTCCAGTCTGGGTTTCAAAGAGTTCTTCACGGTTGTCTCATTCTCTGAATCAGTGAGTTTGCCAGTCAGTGAGAACACTGGCTTCTCTTATCCTTGGAATAATTAATTTTGGATCAGGTTTTGTTCACATAGCCACCATCCACCCATTTCATCTCAGGCATGCTTGCCTCATCAAATCAGTGTTATTTACATTAGATCAGAGATTGGAAATTGTTGCCAGACACCTTCCTCTTTGTACATTCCCTGCATCACTTGGGTTCCCACAAGCATCTCAGATTGCCTCTTACGTGGTTAGATTCTCTGTCCTGCTCATTCTGACTTGAAGCAACATGACTCCTTCCCATAGCCCAGTGTGCAGCCTGCATCTTGTCACATGTATAATGATTTTAGGACTAAATATTGAAAGTTAGAAAAGAGGAAAGAAAGAAAGAATGACAGAAAGAAAAAAAGAACACATGATCAAGTTGATTTAGACTTCTTTATAAATGAATTGACTGATAGCTCATCTTTGTTTTATCATTCATTTCATGGAGGCATTGAATTGGAAGGAATATAAAAGAATGATGACATTTTTCTGGACATCTAGGAGCATGTTTAGAAATGTTAATAAATCAAAACAATGAACTATTATCATATATGTATCATGAAGCTTCACAAAAATTACCAAAACTAATTAAACTGTGAATGTTCTTTGCAAGCAATAAACTCAAAACTTATTAAATCTTATGTCTCCTGGTAATCAAAATGGAATTTACAACAGGCCAACATGATCAGTGACTGTATTACAAAATAGGTTATGTAAATGTGCAACAATCATCATTATTCCAACATCATTAGCATTTCTTGATAAAAATTATGGAAAACTCTTTAATCAGCACTTTAAACTCTGGGGTGGATGAAGATGGTCTCACGAGAATCAAAGATTAATCTGCTTATGTGACACTAACTCAGTCATTTTCTTTACATTACACAGCAGATAATATGTGAAACTAAGTAAACTCCATGTATGTACTAAACTATTCATTCCAAGAACATGGATTGATTAATTTTACTGAATTTTATTTGAAAGAAATTAAAGCAGTATTTGGAAGACAGCAGGTTCAAGAACACAGCTGAAGTACCGAAGGAAAGTGAGGCTCCACTTTAGCTTCCAGTCCTAGACACAACCTTCAGAATGATCGGTTTTTCTGGTTGTAGCAAATTATTTCTGCCTAGTTTCAAGGGGATCTGTGAGAGGAAAAGAAGTGACCAGTGACTCCAAAATTCAGAGAATAAAAACATGAATGCAGTAATGACAGTGACACTTAAAACATAAAGAGTGTTTTAGCATTACATATCTTGGATCACTTAGGTTCTAAACTGATTACAAATATGATATTGAAAGCTTTTATATAAATACTCACTTAGAACTAAGTGAATATCCATTCTCTCCAGGGCACAAGACAAAATTATTTACCTAGTTTTCATTTTTTGCAAATTTTAAACCTTTGAAATTAAAGTAGATACCTAGACATTAGGGAAAACATTTTTTTATTTAGTGCAGGGTCTTTAGTGTCCCACTACACAGATCAGACTTGTAGTGATTCTCTTGTTCTCAGTTTTACAAGTAATGGAATTACAGCCATGCACCACAACACCCTATCTTGGTTGCCATCACACTCACCCAAGGGTGGGGCTGGCATTGCTGGTCTGGGAATTGAACCTCTTACCCCTTCATCTGCCTAAGCAGGCACTTTCATCCTCTAAGCTATCTGGCTACCCCAAAATTATGCTTTAAGGACACAAATGTTGCTTTTTTGAGTTTTTTTTGAAACTTGCCAGATAATTCTGAATTGATATACGTTTGAACTATATAGGACTCCTCCAAAGACTCTTGAGAGCCATCACAGTTGAATCCATTCTTTTATTGGAGATATCACTTAGTGAGAATTATGTGTTTGCGTTCTTACATCTCTCCCTTGACTTCTAAGATAAGTGCAATTGGGAAGATTTTGAGTCCTACAGTGATCTGTTTGAGCTTTTCTTCCCATGCTTTCTCAATCATTAGTTCACCATTGAGGAGCACGCAACCAAATACTCTTCTGATCATGGTACAGGAAGAATGAGCATATTGTTATGCAAAGTTCAGTTACAGGGACCTGGGAGCTCACCAGGGAAGGTTTACCCATTCAAGGTGTGACAAACATGGTCCCTTTAGAGACTAAGACTGTATGTGCAAAAAATATTCAGTCTCACCTCTGTTTCTTCACAAGGTTGAATGGAGAAATGCTGCAGGATTCTGGTGACAGCAAGTTTCATGCTCATAAGTGCAAATCTCATGCCAATGCAGTTCCTGGGCCCAGCCCCAAAGGGCAGGTATGTATATGGCTCAATGTTTTCCTTGTTTTTCTTACTGAACCTATTGTCATAATAAGTAAAAACAAGTGAATGAAACATAAAAACCATGAGAGCTTCATATTTGGGGTCTCACATCAAGCCCCAGAACCATGATTATACAGGATAGATTTGTGTTCAGTTTACTAAGATCTTACTGTATATATTTATTTGTGAGAATTATATGCTAAAGCTACTTTCCACACCTTTATATTTTGTAATATATTAAAGCATCTCAGCCCAGAAGCCAGCCATCTCCAGCTGGACCACTTCTCTGGGCTGTAGCCAAAAGCATATGTTGAGAGCAGCAGCTAGCTGGGCCTCGCTCATCCACTTAGGCTGATTGCAGCCAGAAGAACACAAACACAGCAGACACACCCAAGCAAAGCCCAGGTGGTTGAGCTTGAGTTATGTAGAACTCTACCTGGTACACCCAGACATGTTTCTCAGTCCAGGGGGCTCAGACTGAGGCTCAGACCTACAGGAGGACCCTACAGTACTTGAGGTGATAGGGGGTAACATGGGTAAATAGTCTGCCTAGAAGACTCCAGGTGCATGAGGTCAGGATTATCAGACAGAAATTAGGGGAACTAATTTAAATACAACTTACCAATTTAAGATCTATTTTGTTAGATAGCTTAATGTTTGCTCATATGGTTTAAAGTACAAAACTATAAGTTACAAAAGTTTTTCAATCTCTAAATTTCATTATCTGTTATTAGTATTGCTAATTATACTACTGTAAATAGGAAACCACATCTGCCTTAACCACATGTTCTCCCTTTTGTAATAATATTGGGAGGCATTTGGGTAATAACCTCACCAGAGTCATATAGTAAAGGACAGTGCCAAATGGAAATAATATCCCTCTCTCAGTCAATCAAGAAGGCAAAACCTTGGGGAACACTCAAAGCAAGAATTTTTGACACAGGAGAGGTACCTAAACAACTTTAACAACATAATCATGAGAAAGAGACTCTGATTACAGTGATACAACTACCTACTATAAAACTTTCACAAAAATGTCACAGAAATCAAAATAAGGGGTTCACTCTGAAATAGAAAACGGCAAAAAGAAGGAAAAAAATGCAATCTCAGGCCCAAGCCTACCTACAACATACCCAGGAGACATCAGCATGGATGAAATTAAAAGCCACACACTTGAAATCTCTGAAATAATAGCAAGCTATTAAGGAAAACAACTGCACAAAGGTATAGAGGAAATCAAAGAAGAAATAATCTCCTGTGCAGAATCACCCAACTAATCCAGGAATAGAACGTCTTTCCAGAGGGGTCAGCAGGTTAACTTCCAAGGGCTGCAGCAGAAAGAAGCTGAGCACATCAGCCAGACCAAAGCCAGGCACAACTGGATGAATTCAAACTTTGTAGATCTACACCCAGCAAGGTGAGACACTTTGATAGACCCAGATCTATAAGAGGATTGTCCCTCTTTCTCTCTTAACTGACAGAGGGGGCAAAAGGTAACTGGAAAGAACTAGTCTGCCTGGAAAACACCAGGTACATCAAGGGGAGGCAATAAGACAAAACTTAGCAGAACTAACTGAAATACAAAGTCCCAATGTAACATCTGCTTAGCAATACAGAAATAATGTCTCTTACTGTCTAAAATACAAAGCCATTACTTACAAGTTTGTCAACTGCTAAATATCATTAACCACTACTGGTGTTTCTAATTGTACTTTTGTAAAGACAACACTATAACTGCCTTAATAATATAATGTCTCTTCAGTAAGAATTTCAGTAGGTGTTAAGGTTATAATTGCACCAAAGCGGTACACAAAAAGTCAGAGGATAAGTGATAAACAAAATGACAAATAGAAAGAGCAAAATGCAATCTCAGCCCTGAGCCCACCCAGGACAAAAGTAGAAGACACTGGTGCAGAACAAATTGGGAATCGCACAGTTGAAATGCCTGAATTAATACTGTCTGAAGTAAAGAAACAACTGCAGAAAGCTATAGAGTAACTCAGATCAGAAATAATCTCTGAAATAAAAAGAGAAATCTCTGGATTAATAGAGTCTGGAGGAAAGAATCAACTGCAGAGATGTACAGAGGAAATCAGGTCAGAAATAATTTCTGAAGTAAAAAAGAAGGGATAAGTATAATGAAAGAATTAATGAATGTTTCTCAAGAAGACACTGATAAAACAATAGAGGAGATTAGAAAAACGATGGAATTCTTGAATGAGCAATATAGGAAAAAAAATAGATTGTATGAAGCAGAATCAAAGAGACATAGAGGAAATTAAAATTTCAATCACAAGCTTTGGAAACCTTATTACTGAAGGCGAAGATAGAGTTACAGATCACAACTAAGTCTGTTAATCTGAGTAACAGATTTGAGGATAAAAATAGATAATATAACAACTACTGTTAATTTGCTATACTTCTTTTGAAAGTCTATAATCTATGTATTGTTGCATGTTACCTTGTTTCTGTCCTAGTTTCTAATATTTGCTTTTGTATTTGTTTTTACTCTTTAAAGTAAAATGAAATAAAATTTAAAAAATTCTTTCTCAGTTAATGTCTGTAATACATATATTTCAACACATGGATTACTAGGTACTGGGCTCAGTCTCTGATACTTTCTGTTTGATGACAGAAAGAAGTCCAGTGTGTATTCCTTCATATTTTTGCAGTGAAGGTAGAGAAAGAAGAACTGATGAGACTGCAGGGAGCACCATGTAATTCTTACCCATAAGTGCAGTACTGAACTGTCTAATTTACCTCTCACAATTTCTGTGGTCTATGTGACAGCACTTCGGAAACCATAAGCAGTAATACTAGCTTATGACAGTATAAAATGCATAGTAAACCTAGATTCATGGTTGCACAACACATCAGCAAATATAGTAAAGTCTTCCTCTCCTACTTTGCAACGTGAGTATGATAAGACAACACGTATTTCCAAAGTGTAAACTTTACCCATATCCTGACTGCAACATGCCCCACCAAGAAAGATTCCCTCACAAATGTACAGGATGGATGCCTTGGCTTTGGAGGCATTACCACCAACAGAGAATGTGAGGGAGCCTAGCCCGCAGAACAGAGAGACAGGCCCAGGAAGACCTGCCCTTTCCTCAGTGCTTAGGGAAGGCAGCTGAAATAACAGGGAGACAGATTTCATTTTCCCTCACCTGGAAAATTTAACCTCACACTAGAGGGATCAGAAATCAGTATTTAATTAACTGAAAGGTAGAATATTTCTTGAATTTGCTGGTAAATTCAGAGATCTGAAGTGAACATCTGAGAAATAGAAAAATATTAAGAGCTTATTCAGGCTGGGGAGAATGATGAGTGGTCTAGGTGTCTGCCTGGCAAGGGCAAGGACCCAGGATCAATCCGAGGACACATGCTGTGGTGGCCCTGGACCCCTAGGCCTCCCATCCTGAACATGGAAACTAGGTATGATCACACATGCAAGTAACTCAATCCCTCAGGATGCTGAGACACGAGAATCAGTACAAGTCTGACCTGTGCAGTGAGATCCTGTACCAAATAAATAAATGATATTTCAAAGGCCCATTCACATGAAGTTAGCCTTTTACATGTTAACTTATAAGATTCACAGATACAACAAGGGAAAGATATACACAAATATCACATATCTTAGAAGAGTGTATAGCTCTTTATTTACTGTACATATATTAAGCATCAGTTGAAAACACTTGCAAAATGTGATATTAAAGTTATAAAAATTTATACAGTTACATGCACAGAAATATGTTGATAGTAACAAATGCTATCATACAAAATCATTTTATTTTAAGGTGTGGGAATTGTAGACATGTATTCCTTTCCTTGGGTCTTAGTTTTCACGTAGATACTATTTTATAATTTTACTAAATTCTAAAATGAGGACACTTTTTTCTTATTTGAAAATCATTGCAAAAGTCCTAGCCCAGGTCCGGTGAGTGTGCGGAG